ATTTTTTTAATTCCTTAAAAAAATGAATATTATAATTTTTATAATTATAACGATTACTGCATTATTAATATATAATAATATATAATAACAATCAATAAAAAATATATTTCTTTTTTTATTCTATCAATAATAATTTACAATAAAAGTAGTTGCTGCTATTATAAATTATTCTATTTATAATAGTTGATAAAGTTAATACATGTATTTATGAAGAAAATAAAAATATTGTTTAATATATTTATAATACATTTAGTTATATAAAGGTATCAAAATATCAAGAATTTAACAACAATTTTTCAAAAATATTCTGATATAATTTTTCTATTTAAATTTAATATTACAATAAGATTTTTATTTTTTTTTTTTAATTATAAAACATATTAAAAATTTACAAATACATACTTTCAATAGCTTGTTTAGATCGTTCCATAAAAATAGTACCAGCACAAGGATGTAATGATGGATCCGAATCCCAGTCTTCTGGTTCACGTTCACTAATATGTTGTAAATTATTAACACTAATTCCACCTTCAGGTAGATGTTCCTCAAGACCTCGTGTAACACCTTCAGATCCTAATTCTTTACGTCCAACTTGAGGACTAGAATAAACGCAGCAACTACTTTTATTTCCCATTCTTTCAAGGGATTGTATTGATGTCTTTGTTCTGTTTCTATCTCTAATTGAAAGTTTATAAAATATAAATAAGACTGTAATACTCAGTACTACAGAAATTATATGGATGGTATAATTTAAAATTTCACGTGACACATCCTTCACATATTGTTTTTAAATGACAATCAGCTGATAAAATTATTGGCAATACGAATATACATTCTTTCTTTTCTTTCATCCACATTGATATTTGAATACATTATATATAATCAAGAAAAAAATACTTGCATAAGATTGTACATAAAAATTAAGACTAAAAAATTTGAAAAATCACTTCAGGAATGATCGTAACTAATAATATATAAACGTCTATTATATTGACAACGCCTTTATGCACGATTTGTGTCGATTGATTTATTGTTTAAATCATCGGTCAAACAAATTTTGTTTCTGCTCGTATACACGAGCTTTGATATTTTTTGTTCTTGTTGTATGTCATTCTCATTATTCCTGCACATTTAATGTGATTATTTCAATATTTTTATGTGTTTATCACATGCCGTCTTTAGTCTACTGTTTTGATATTGCATATTCATACATAAACTATAATGTGTATGTATAGAGAGACTTCAACTTTTATTTTATATATGTATGTTTTCATTGGTTTATGATAAAAAGAAATTTTTTATTTTTTAAAATTTTTTAATGCATATTATTTTATTATTAGTCAGAAATTTAAAAAAATTGAAATTTGTTTAATTATTTAATTTTTTCTTACATTATTTTTCATAGTTTCATAGATTTAAAATATAAAATATAAATTATAATATTTCTTATATAAAGAAAAAGGATAAAAAAAGAAAGAGAGAGAAAAAGAGAGATTATTTTAATAAAAATGATATTTTACATACAATATATTATTATTATTATATTCTATATATTGTTATTTCTATTTTTATTTTGTTTTTATTATATTTCTGAATTATAATATATTTCTAGTTTGAAGATAAATTTTATTAATTAGCATTAAATAGTGATTGAATAATAATATTTAATTTTATTTCTTTCTTTCTATATTTTATTTTTATTTAAATAAATAAAAATTATAATAATTATAAAAATATAATAAATAAATAAAATTATTTTTATTTAAATAAATAATAAAATAAATTTATCTAATTACTATATATTTTTCAAATTAAAAATATAATAATAATTTTGTGTTTTAAATATATTTTAAGATTTTAAAAAATTTTCTAATTATATAATAAATTAGTTTCAAAATTTAATATTATATAATTAAATACAATAAAATTATTATTTAAATAAATTATTATAGTATAAAATAATATTTTAATATCAAGACATTGTATGTTTTTTTATTATATTATATTATATTTGTAACAATAAAATAAAAAAAATAATAATTAACTAATTTATATAAGAAAAATGAAAAATATAAAATTATAATTCTCTTTTTTATAATTCGTAATATTAAATTATACAATATGCAATAATAAATAAGAATAATTAAAAATATAATGTTTGCAACATACGCATGCGTATTGATTAATAAAATTTCAAGGTAGTTTTTAATTAGCTACATGACATTATATTCGCTTAAAAAAA